CCTAAACTCTCAAGCCTAAACCTTAAAGCCTGAAACCTCGAACGCCCTAAAACCGCAAAGCCTAAATCCACACCCACAGGCCCTCAAGCCTGAGCATTGGATATGCAGCTGGCAGGGCCTTTTTCACTGCGCCCTTTTCAAATTCTGTGGCCAAAACTTTTTTACCTGAAATCCGAAATCCTAGAGCCCAAAGGCTGAATTAGGGGGATAACCCTAAATCCCTAAAGGGTCTAGGGATCGTGGGAAGAGGTTGGCTGGTTCTCCACCGGCGATGAGATCAACGCCACCTCGGCCGTGATCCACGCGTTCTACTGCAAGAAGGCCCCGGGTAGGGAAAACCCCAGGTTGTATCCGGGCAATATCCTATAGGCGCTTATACATGCAAGTATAGAGAACGCAAGCGTTTCGTGATAGACCTACGCAGACTTCGCGGGGAATCAGCAACCCAAACCCTCTAAAGGATCCAAAAAATGGAGCCCCCCAAAAAATTGATCCCATCGCTACATTGGGGAACCTAGGAGATTATTAAGGGCTTCCATTTTTAGATCCCATAGGGGGTCTGGGAACTCCCATGGATGTGAGTTTTCAGTGGCCCTCTGCATCTTAATCTGCAGTGTTGGGGATCAGCTCTGGCTGAGCTTAGGGTTTTGTGGTTTAGGATTTAGGGTTCAGGGTTCAGGATTTTGGGCTTGGGATGTAGGATTGAGGGTTTAGGGCTTAGGATTTAGGGTTTTGGGCTTAGGGTTTAGGGTTTGGGGTCCCTGGTGTGGGTGTCGCACATCTAGAAAATGAAGCTACCTGGAGTTTCATGGGTACGGCCCTCACTCATTAGCAGTTGTTTCATATTGGTTATACACTTTTACAGAGCCCTTGCAATGACCCCTATTTTAGACTGTTTTTGGGAGGGTCCTGCAACACGAGCCATAGTCCTGCCGACCATCCACTTACTGGCCCTCAATAGGCTATCCCAGCTTCACTTGGGTCGATCACCCACTCATAAGTAGTCGTTCACAAGGATGTGCACTGGAAGTTCCTGCTTAACTCACAACCCTAACCCTAGAACTATCTGTAACTTTGTTTTTCTTAAGAGCAGCATGACATTCGGATTGTGCAGGATATCCGGAGAAGGCTTCGGCAAAGGGTCTAGGGTTTAGGGTTTCAGCCTTTCTTGGGCTTTCTCAATTGCCCTAGGGGTGCTAGGGATACACGCTGGCGCATGCATATACTGGCGTCAAAATTACTTGTCTGTG